CATTCAAAGCGTCAGTCATCAGAGTGGGCCGAGATGCACCTGCCACCATTCAGATCGATGAAGAGGATGAAACCCCAACACCATCCAGGAGATCCTATGACAGAGCCGGACCCTCTCGGCAACACCATAATAGGGCAGGCTTCTCTAGATCCCAGTCCACCCAACCTATGTTGCGTTCCATGGAGGAAGAGATCGTAGATCTTCGCACCTCGGTGGATGGCCTACACACGCGTATGGATGCCATGTCTCAGCGGCATGCCAGGTCTGAGAGCCGGATTATGGCGTGGTTCTGTGCTTTGGGGAGAGCTTGTCATGTTGACCCCAGCACCGTCTCAGACTCCAATTGATGCTCAGGGAAGTCTTCTTACCCTTTTGCTCTTTATTTTTGATATGACATGGGGACATGCCATAATTTTAAGTGTGGGGTGGGAGACTTGCTCTGGTAGTGTATTGTAGTGTATATAGACATTGAGTATGTTGTAATATTAGATTGATGTTGTTGTGTATAATTGACTGTACTTACATTAGAAGTAACTGACTTGGCCCAACGACGGACACTTGTCGACAGGTCTCTTGAGGGTCAAAGTCAGATATATACAAAAAAAAAATTTGTAGAGGACTCTTCCTGAGGACGGACCACTTGGACAGTACTCTTGAGGGAAGTAGTCCAGGTAGATTTTTCTTTATTTTATTTTATTTTTTAGGTAGTGTAGTAATTCTCCCTTGGTTTTTCTTTTGACCACGGTTCTTTTCCAAGGGCTTTTCTTGAACCGGGTTAGGTAGATTTTTCTTTTGTAGTTTTAGGACCACGATGGGTGAAGGCTAGAATGCAACCCTAGATGTACACACCTGAGAATAACAAAAACGAACTGAGGGTGCGACGTCTAGGCTCGTTTAAAGACTCATACTTTGATGCCTTAATTTTGCACATCTTGTCTTGCTTGAACGCTCGTATGAGTGTGCTGATAAACTGATTCGGAATGAGTTACATGCCAAGTGTGTGTGAGCTATTACTTGCATTCTGTGCTTGCATGCGATACCTAGAACTTGCCCTGTGTGTTTGCAAAGCGAAATAGAAGTTGTTTGGTTTTAGAGATGATTGAGGCATTTCTTTGTATAGCTTGTATAATTGTGAATCCACCTGTACATATTGCCATAGTTAACCCCTTTGAGCCTGAAGCCTGTTCTTTGATAACCCTATAATAACCTACATCCCTGTGTTTGAGTAGTTTGACTGCTTCAACTTGTACCTCCTAGAAGCACTTGAATTATTAAAGAACATACAAAAGTCAAAGTGTGGGGTAGTAGGGGAGTGGAAAAAGGGGAATCGGGAAAGAAATACTTGAATGGTACAATGGCTGTTAAAAAAAGAAAAAAAAAAAGAAAAGAAAAGAAAAGAGAAAAAGGCCAGTGCACCTAAAGAAAAGTGGGGGGCAACTATGAAACAAAATGTGGGAGAATGATTGGGCTGAACATGGAAATTGAAACAAAAGGAAGTTTGTATTAAAAGTGCTTAGGGAGGTTAGTCACTATATCCAAATATATCCTGCCCGTCCCTTAGCCTACATTACAACCAAATAAAGACCTCTTGATCTTTCACTGAACAACTCGATTAGTAGAGTATTACACTAGGGGCAAGCCTATGGTGTATCTGTGTGGCATGTGAATGTTCTTTGTTGAGAGTGAGTGAATTTTGTCTATCTATGGTTCCTTGTTGCTTAATTTTATGTGTGTGGAACTTCTCTCAGATTTGTGATGTGAGGGCATGTGACTCAGGAAGAAAACGTGAGTTTTCACCTCTGTTAGAGTAACTAGAGTAAGCACGAGTGTGTCATGGCGTTAGAGTCTGCATCTGAGTGTGACTGTTGCACTGCTTAGGTTATTCGTTCATAATGGTGGGTGTGGCATAAACTTGGGGCAATGCATCCAACGGTTAGGCCTAGAAGTGTGGTTTAACTTGCTCGAGGACGAGCAAAGGTTTAAGTGTGGGGTGTTGATAATAGGTGAATTTAACAATAATTAGGCCCTAAAGAACCACCTTCTTGTATAGTTTTGATGATAAAAGTGATAACAAAATGCTCTGATTAGTGCTTTTCATGCTTTGCAGGTGATATATGACAAGAGAAGGCTATGGAGTACTTTTGGGATCAAATATGGAGAAAAAGAGGCCAATCAGAGCATTCCAAAGCCTATCTTAGAGGGACCACCAGCAATGGGGGGATGCGCTTGGAATCTAAGCTGAACATAGAGGATTCCAAAGCCTATCTTAGCTCCATGCGAATGAAGCATGGTGACAGCAAGAAAAGTTAGGCGGACATAGTTGAAGAGGATGGCGAGTTACAAAGTTATGGCACGTTTGTATGGGTCAAAATCAGATCAAGGGGACCTCGTCTAAAATAAGGCAATCAAGAATCAATTAGGCCGAGGTCGTGCTTAAGAAGCAACACTGGCGAGCCGAGCAGCTATTGTCGAGGTCGAGCACTCAGATCGGTCAAAACGGCTAGTTTAACATAAGATATTTTTAAAGAATATTCAGAGGAATATTCTCTGTATTTGTACTTTCAGTAGGTAAGGGATATGTCCCATATAAGTAGGAATAGAGAGAGAGAGAGAGAGAGAGAGAGAGAGAGAGAGAGAGAGAGAGAGAGAGAAGGGGCATGTAATTTTCTATCTTGATAAGCTCTCTCTAGAAAAGTTGACTCTCAAGCAACTACAAACATTATATTTACACAAGATTCGATTTGTTGTTTTATTCCAAGCTTTCCCACATCAAATCCAATAAAGTATTTGATATTCCCACGTTTGTTTACCTTATATCACTGTCAGAAAGAGAATCATCCACCTCGTTATACATTTGGGTGAATTATTCTTTCTATTTACAGCTATTGTCATTTATCATATTTATTGCTTGTCCTTATCCCCTCATTCATTCATAACAATATCAGTAAATCTCCTTTTGGCATTTAAAAGCTTTAAATGTGATTTTTAGACTATTACTATCCATCAATCTTGGATCTAGGATTTATTATATTTAACTAGTATTTACCCATTATCATTTATTTAATTAGTTTAACAAAAATACTTAACACTTTTTGGTCAACAACGCTATCAGACTTAGACGATGCACTGAGCAAAGGGGTCAAGTTTGCTAGCAAGGCTGTGACCATGGAGAGCAGCCAAATAGGGAGTGCAAGTATAGACCCGATGCTTGAGAAGATGCTAGACTTGGTCGACTCATGGGAAGATTCAGGCCAAGAGCAAGGAGAGGCACCCGATGAGCGGAGGATTGAGGCCATCATTTCTAGTCGTCCAAAGTACAAACGGGGCAAGAAGTAAGGTGACTAGTACCTTGTGACATGGGAAGGTGAACCGCTCCATAAGGCATCATGGCTAATGGACAAAGATATCCGGCGCCTCCAAGGCGACGTGCGCATGTACCTGTCGATGCTTTATGCCGAGGGCGGCACAAAATTGGGTGGGGGAGAGTGTCATGACCTGCCACATTATCATGCCACGTAGGTGCCACTTGGCATGTATTTTTGCCATATGGAAAGCTTACATAGGAAAGAGGCTAGAACTTGTAGGAAAGTTCTAGAGAAATATAGAGGTTTCCCTAGGAAGACCCTAAAACCCTATAGAATTGCTAGAAAAATCCTTAGAAGATTCTAGCTATGTAGAATATTCTAGAGAAGGGACTTACTTATAAGTATTAAGGACTTGTGTAACAATTAATATTTACACACTAGCCCCTACGAGACTAGTATATAAAGGGGCCATTCATTTGTAAAATCATCAAGCAAAACAATCAAGTTTTCTCTAATACAAAATCTTCCTTTGGCAATTCTGTTGTGTTCTAACATTCCCTTAGCGATCTTGAGTGTGGTAAGGCTGACTTGGCATAGCAAGAACGTGAGCGAGTTGTCAAGTGTCGCACGTGCGCTTAGTTAATGACTAAGGACGTGACATTTAGGCCCTTAATTTAAAATAAATCAATCAAATTCAAGAACGTACAACTAAACCCTTGAGCTAACAATTAGAGAGAAAATCAACGGATACTCTCTCCAAAGTGAAATAAGTTTTAGAGATTGTACTATATGCTATATTTTATTGTATATATATATATTTTTTGTCTTCGATTAGTTTAGGCACAAATTTGTTGTTATGTTCTTCAGGCGAAGTCAAGCCAAAAAGCTCCTTGACTTATACTTAATGTTGAAGAGGTTGATTGTTTTTTTTTTAAAAAAAATTCCTCCCAAATTAGGAGGATGTATAGTGTTTCCACATTTCCCCTCCAACGTGACTCGAATCCAAGACCTAACGATCGTAAGTGAAAATACTTTACCAACTGAGCAAGCCTCACTTGTCGTTGATTGTCTTTGAAATGCAAAGAATGTGCCTTGCGAAGTTATATACCATATTCTTATTATGTACATAAAATATTGTATGCCTATGGCTATGATCGTTGATTGAGATTATGTGACAACTATTCGTGTGAGTTGGAACAAGCGCGTGAATACATTCATATAAGCGCGTGAGCCCTAGCAAAGAGGCTGCAAAATTTATTTATTTTTTTGCTTTTTTAAGAGACTTCTTCCCCAAACACCATTGTTGAACAAATATGGAGGCTCCATTACTTATTATTCTTGACAAGTGAATATTTGCAGTCATTTGTTGCTAATTTGGCAATATGGATCCATTCATTTCAAATGTAATCTGATTGTTATCAGTTACTTCCCACTCCTTTCCTCTCGTTTACTTGAATCAGTTTTCTCGTTAACTATTGATCTCTATAAAGTTTCATGCTAATTAGCTTCATATTGATATTTTTGGAACTTATAAAAGTGTTAAAGAGAAACTGTACAAATAGAAAAATACACTTTTATTGATATACACCACAATTTAATTATTTTTCAAATTCATATATTGCTCATCAGAATGACATTAACATAGAATAACATTATCAATTCATGTAACATGTTATTAACGTAGAATTAATAAGATCATACTAAGATTAATAATGTCTTAAGATAAATTATATTAATTAATTATACTGAAAAAGCAATACAAACATCAAACTGTTTGTAAGAATATAATTAACATCTCAAAGAGAGAATAAAACTCTAATAAGTTTAAATAATAAGCTTAAACACTATTGCTCTTATTAAAATTTAACTTTAGATCTCTTGTTTTATTGAGCCGACCTTTCATAAACAAAGCCTGAAAACACTCAGAATCCTCTGAAACAAGCTTCTCTCTTGTTCCTTCCAACTGCTCCTTCAACATCAATAGTTGATTCAAGTTCTGACATTGTTCAACATCTATATCCTCCAACCAATCGCGGAGGCTATTCCTCGGGGGCGAGGATGATCTCGACCCCGAAGAACTGCCAGAAACCTCATCAGAATTAGAATCACGAGAATTCAGCCCAGACGATGATGGCTCTGAAAAACTTGAAAAGTGCCTCTCAATTGCAGAAGTAACATTGCCGCAAGTGTACGGCCTTCCGGTGGGCGAAAAAACCACCGCCGCAACACGAGATCCGGTCATGGATTCAAGTTCTCCAGCTTTTTTGAAAAGTCCTTTGCGTCTTTTAGAGAATGTAACCATCCTCGACGTTTCCTTTGTTATTTTCTCGATCTGTATCTTCTTCTTTCCTGTGCCCATCTCCTCGTTTTAATTTCTTCTTCTTATTTTTTCGTGTTTTTTCAAGTGTAGATTGTGCCTTTAAAAGCTTTTGAACAATTTGGAATTCTTAAATTAAAGGTTTGATATTTATAGGGAGAGAATGAAAAGGATTCCTAAAGCCATATAATATTGGTAGTTTCCTATTGTAAATATACTGTTTGCCATATTAGTTTCCTTTTCTGTCTATAATTTCTCGCCGCCTTAAACCAAGAGACGTTTCGTTTCATTTTTTCCCTTTTCCGAGGGGTTTAATTTATAGCGCTTTTATCTTCTTCTTTTTTTCAATTCAAATTAGAGTTCGGTTTGACTTTGCTTTTATTACTCCCTCCTGTCACTTTTACATTATTAATTTTTTACGACTCTTAAAAAATAATAAATATAATATATAAAAAATAAATTTTTTTTTTCTTGAAATGCAAAAAATAACAAATAAAAATTAAATTTTTTGTTTAAAATTAGTTAACAATTAAAAGTGGACGGAGTGAGTAGCTTATACTTAGTCGTTTTTAAGGTATGTTTAGATGTTGAATATTGAGCATTAATGTGGTAGTATTTAATTTAGTGTAAAAGTCCTAATTAGTTTCCATGTTGATTGTTCCTATATTAGTTATCTTTTCCATATTAATTAGTTTCCTATTCTGAACCAACCTTCTTTTTCCATAATAGTTTCCTATTCTTTTGTTGTAACTTCTCACCGCCTAAACCAAGAGACGTCTCTTTTATTTTTTTATTTTTTTTGGGTTAATAACTTCCCTTTTTTAAGCGAATTAACTTCCCTTTTTAGGATTAATATTGGAAAGGAAAAGCTCGTTTTCTTCTTTTTGCAGGTAAAAAAGAATTTCCTAACAGGCAATTTCCTAAAATAATTTTTGGTTTCTAGAAAGTGTTTGGTTTAATTTTTTTTTTTTCCCCCAAAACATTTGGTTTGATTTCGAAAAGTAAAACATGTTGTTTAGTTTAAATGGGATTGGTTTATTTTTGTGCTTAAACTTATAAACAGGCTTAATTAATTATTTGTTACCTTTTTGTAGGATAGCATGCACGTCGGGACAGAAAATTTTCTTTAATAAGTTTTCTGCTTTTAAGTTTAGTTCTTTTTGGGGCTTATTATTTAATAAAATCGTATTAAAAACAAAGAAATTTTTTATGATCAGTATGATATACTTCCAAGTTATTGAATTTAATTTAGTTTAAAGTTCTAATTAGTTTCCATGTCTTAGCTGTCACTATATATATTAGTTTTCTTTCTTGAAGGTTAAGCATAGTGTTAGGAGGTTTTTAAGTGTTAATATGACCCCACTGTAATTAGGGTACCCCTGTAAATAATATGACTTCTATAAATATGAAATTTTAAAAACCATTAGTGACATAGTTTTTCGAGTCAATATGAGCACGATGATTAAGTTAACAAATCTTTACCCCGTGTTTACATCAAGGATCAAATCGTAATTTATTTTATAAATTAAATAACCATGATTAATTTACTCAATAAAATAAAAATATACTATATTAATTAATCATGATTAAGTGAGAAAATTTATACGCAAACACATGCATCTATTAGTTGAAGGTAAACACGATATAGGTAAGTGTTTACCTCTAATCAGTTTCCATGTCTAATGTCTTTCTTATTCATTAGGTTTCTGTTTTCCATTTGCTTGCGCATAAAGTCTAGGGTTAGTGAGGATTACAAAACACTTTCTACCAATAGTTGAATATTTCTCCATAAATAGTGACTAATTTGATCAAATTAATTATTGTATAATCAATTAATTATTCGAATATCACGTGAGGTACGTAAAATCCTAGATCATTATTTTGTTTAAGTAATTAACCATAAGAAATATAATTAGGATTATATGTAACGATCCGATCGGTCATTTTGAGCTCTACCACGGCGTTCGACGGCTTGAGGCCTTGAGTAGCTTCACTTCAGTTATTATGACTTGTACATGCGGTAAGAATTAAATTTCGGGAAGTCCAGAGGTTGATTTGGAAAGAAAATTCTAAATTCGGATGCTTTAAGTTGGAAGAGCTTACCAGGGCTTGACTTTTGAGTAAACGACCTCGGATCAGGATTTGAAGGTTCCAATGGGTTCGTATGATGATTTCGGACTTGGGCGTATGTTCGGGTTGAGTATCGGGTGATCCGGAGGCATTTTAGCGCTTAATATGGAAAGTTGGCATGTTGAAGGTTTTAGAATTTCCTAAGTTTGGTTTGAAGTGTACTTTGGTGTTATCGATGTCCGTTTGGAGTTTCGAGCCTTGAAATAGGTTCGCATCGTGATTATGACTTGCACGTAAAATTTGGCGTCATTTCGGAGTATTTACGTGTGATTCGGGCGCGTTCGGCGAAGGATGAAGGTTTGAAAGTTAAAAGAGTTAAGAAATTGAGTTTGATCTTTAGTTCTTGGTTTCGATGTTGTTGTTCCGAGCCTTCGGACAAGTTTACATAGGGTATATAAACTTGTTAGAATGATTGAACGGGGTTCCTCGGACCTCGAGTGAGTTTTGGGGTAGTCCCGGGCCACTTTTAGGCTTTTTGGAACTATTGATAACTGGTGTTGAGTGTGTGAAATGCGATGGCGGAGGTTTGAGCTGCGATCGCGAAGAGCAAAGTGTTGTTCCAGGCCTTGTGAATCGCGATCGCGGAAGGAAGGTCGCGATCGCGTAGAAGGAATTTCTGTTGTTAGTAGTCTGACTTAGGAAGCTTATATTTTGCAATATATAAGGAATTGGAGATGATCCAAAAATGAAAGTTCTAGCCCTTTGAATCTACTTTTCAGAAAATCAAACCGTTTGTCATTTGAAATTTTGTACAAAAAGTTATGGCCATTTATACTTAAGGGTATCTGTGAAGAAGAAAACACAAATTGTACATTGCGATCGCGAAATTTTGGCCGAGATTGCGATGAAGGAAACGTTGCTGGAACTTTTGTTAACCGCGATCGCGTGGCTCATGACCGTGATCGCGAAGAAGGAAGCCTGGCAGGTGTATTAAACATCTAATTACGGGATTTTGAGCTCATTTCTTCACTTTTAAGTTTTTGGAGCATTGTGGGGCGATTTGGGGTGATTCTTGAAGATCATTTTCGCCATATATAATAAGGTAAGTTATTCCTACTTGTATCGAGTTAAATACATGAGTTATATATGGATTTTAACATGGAATTTGATAGAAATTGTGGAATTTTTGGAAGAAAACCTACAAATGATATTTTGGATTTTGACCAAGAAATTAGACATGAAATTGGGAATAAATTATATAATTGAGTTCGTGGTGCTATGGGTAATGTTTATCTTCAAAAAATTTCGAAATACGGGCACGTGGGCCTGGGGGTGACTTTGTTGACTTTTTTAGCGGAGTTAAGAATTGTTATAAATTGATTAATTAAGAGTTTTTGGGTATATTTTGATTGGTTTGCACATTGTTTGACTAGTTTCGAATCGATGAGCATCGGTTTGAGGTTTTAGAGAGGCGTTGGAGTCGGTTATCGGATTTCGAGGCGAGATAAGTCTCATGTCTAACCTTGTGAGGGAGAAACTATCCCCCTAAGTGATGTAATTGTTATGTGCTACTATTTCTGGGTGCTACGTACGCACGAGGTGACGAGAGTCCGTACGTAGCTGATCACGCCCAACTCTAGTCCTAAAAAGGATAAGCGGTCGCTGCAAATATAATCCGATTTACAAGTCCGGAGTCGAAGCCCATAGAGAACTAAGGCTTAGCTACAGTTGTTCACTATCACCAAGAATACAAGCTTGAACAATTCCTAACTTATAGATATTAAGATTCTTGTGTTTAACTAACTAACTAATTAAAATAATAAATTAACACTAAAGATACTTGATCACGCCCAATAATGCCTTATAAAAAGGACAATGCGGTCATTGCAAATATAATCCGGTTTACAAGTCCGGAGTCGAATCCCACAGAGAACTAAGGTTTAGCTACAGCTGTTCACTATCACCAAGAAGACAAGCTTGAACAATTCCTAACTTATAGATATTTAGATTCTTGTGTTTAACTAATTAACTAACGAATTAAAATAGTAAATTAACAACTAACGATACTGAGGGTTAGAGAAAAGATTAAGGAGGTCTAGAGTTATGATTTCCCCTATTGTCGGAATCCTTCCCGCTATGTATTCTATAATTTCGCCTAAGTATTCTCTACCGATCATGAGCACTCTTATTATCGTAAATCTCTCCCGAGTAATTACGACAATTTACTAGACGCACTCTCCCGAGCTACGCTAGCTGGCTTTTAATACAACTCACTTCAGATCGCAACCAAGGCTTCGTTATCCCTAATTATTGATCCCTCATATACTCTGGGAGTGGTGTTGTTCAACAATTACCTAAATATGCACTCTCTCCCGAATTATGCATACTAAATAGGCACAGCTAATTGAGATCTCTTCAATCAACCAGAATATAAACATAGTTGAACAAATAGAGAAAAGCTATGGCTCAATTATATAAAAACATAACAAGAATTTATCCTACAAAAGGTTCTATCAAAACTCTAGATAACAAATTAGCTATTCATAATAGTATGTAAAACTACAATACTAAAAGTCATAACCAATAATGAAAAATAGGAAGAGGAAGGAAAAACTTGTAGAAGAATTCCCCGCCTTGCTCCTAGCGTGTCCTTGCCTCCAAGGGTGTTGTCTAACCCTAAAACTAGTGTCTCTCCGCCTCCTTAGGTCTAATTTGTGTCCAAAATATTTCCCCTCTTGTCTTTTGGCCGGCTTCCTTCGTTTAATATAGGGTTTAGGGCTTAAAATCCCGTGTTTTGCACTTTGGTCCCTGAAATTTTCGCTTCCTGCCGCGGTCCCACCGCGGTTACGCCAGGACCGCGGCCAAATAGGTCCTCTGAATCTGCAGCTCTGCTCTGCCGCGGTCCTACCGTAACCGCGGTTTTTCACCCTGTTCCGTTTGGAATTTGGAAAAACGTAAAACAGGAAAGTTGTAGCCCTTTGAGTTAGTTCCAACCATATATTATGGAGCCCAAATGGAGTTCTGAGCAAAAAGTTATATCTATTTTACTAGACAGTGCGCAATATGCCTCCTCGAGTCTTTGTTTTGTTGTTTTATCATCCGTTGATCCCCGAATACGATCCCAGCTTAATTCCTTGGGATTTTACTCAGACTTCAAAGCTCCAAATCACTTGAATTCATTCCATAACATCTATATAGCTCGG